TTGTAAAGTCCGGATGTACCAAGATTGGAGCTGTAGTAAATACCATCTTCAAATCTTCAAATGCTTTTTCTGCGATAGGTCCCCATTCGAGCTTGTCCTTACACGTTAACCGAGTGAGGGGGGCAGCAACTTGAGAATAATTCTTGATGAAGATCCGATAGTAGTTAGCAAATCCAAGAAAACATTGTACGTCCCTAATCGTCTTCGGAACTTCCCAAGACATGATTGCTTCCACCTTCTTTGGATCCATCTTCAAGCCTTCCGTAGTCGCGATGAATCCCAAAAACTCCATCTCAGTTTGGTGAAATAAGCACTTCTCCAATTTGGCATAGAGTCCTGGCTCCCATAGTTTTTTGAGTACCAGACGAACGTGCTTCTCATGTTCTTCCTCGTTCTTAGAAAATATCAAAATATCATCTAGATAGATGACAACAAAATCGTCTAGATGCTCTCGAAAGATGTCATTCATCATATGTTGAAAGACCGTTGGAGCATTAGTAAGACCAAATGGCATGACATTTTATTCAAAATGGGCATACCTTATTCGGAACGTTGTCTTCCATTCATCTCCTTCCTTAATTCGCACAAGGTTGTAAGCTCCTCTTAGGTCAATCTTTGTAAAGATCCTTGGACGCCGAAGTTGTTCTAGAAGACCAGAGATCAAAGGCAGTGGATAGCGATTCTTTTTTGTCACCTTGTTGAGACCTCGATAGTCCACGCACATTCGTAGTGAGCCATCCTTCTTCTTCACAAATAAGATTGGTGCCCCAGCTGGCGACTTCGAATGACAGATGAAGTTCTTGGCTAGATTCTCGTCAATGTACTTCCGCAACTCAGTCAACTCCGTCTGTGACAAATTGTAGATTGGTCCAAAAGGTGTTTGTGCTCCTTCTTGCAATTCAATGGCACAGTCATAGGGTCGATGCTCTGGCAGCATATCAGCATTCTTCTTTTCAAAGACATCTTTGAATTCTTCATACTGCTTTGGAATAACCAAAGTCGGAGTTGCATCTTTTCGAGTCGGAGTTGCGAAGATGACAAGAGGTGTATTTTGCTTGGCTTCCTTCATGAAAGCCCTTGCACCTATAAACAAGGATTTGTTTCTAGACATTGTATTGGCAGATTCCACCTTCAAGGAGTTTGTTGGAAATGTCACTTTCCGCAACTTCCAATCTATCAATGGATTATATCTATCAAACCAAGATAGTCCCAAAATAATAGGACATGAAGGAGTCTTGATAACATTAAACACAATATTGCTCTCATGGTTTTCAAGACGTACCTTCAATGGTTTAGTTTCATGGATAACATTGCCCGAAGACAATGGTCGTCCGTCTATGACTTCTACATGGACAGGCTTAAGTTTCTTTACAAGAGAAATATTGTGAAGCTTGGCAAACTCTTCATCTATAAAGCAAGCGGATGCACCCGAGTCTAACAAAGCATTGACTTGTAGTTCTTGAATACCCAGATGTAAAGGTACCATAGAACAATCTGAAGGTTGAGCTGAGAGAAAGGGACCTTGATTAATTTTGGATGTTGAGATGTCCAACCGCACGGTCCCTATTGTGGCTGGGCGCCCTTGTTTTCCTGCATGCTTGTACTCCTGAGTCTTGTTGTTTGAGGCTTCTGTTTCTTCCGACAATCTACAGCTTTATGGCCCGCTTCTCCGCAATATAAACACAAGTTTTGTTCAAACCGTCGCTTCCTTTCCTCAGTTGTGAGGGGTTTGAAACGTACCGCATCAATTTGCATGGGTTCAGGATCTGTGGAGTGATTCTCTGGACCTTTTGAAAATGTAGCAAATGCTCCATCATTTCTCCAGCCTGATCGTCTTTCTTGTCGTAATTCAAAGAGGCGGTTGTCACAAATAATTGCCTGAGATATAAGTTCTTCTAAAGTATCCGCCTTAGGCATTGTGATCAATAAGTTCTTGACATCATCTCTCAGTCCATATCGAAATCGTGTCATGAACGCCTTATCATTCCAATCAAGATCACATGTAAGCTGTTGAAATTCTGCAGCATAGATTGCAGCAGAACGTGATCCTTGTCGCAGATTTTGTATCTTTCTTTCAGCCACTCTTTTTCGATCGCTATCTCCAAACGCAGCAGTAAGTCTCTCTATGAAAGCCTCTAGGTCGTACAATATTGGAGAATCCTTCTCCAATAGTGGAGCAAACCAAGAGCGAGCATTTTCTGGTAGAAGAGTACCTATGAAAGCAACCTGGGTAAATCCATTCGGATAACGAGAAGGGTATAGGCGTAGGTAAAGCCGTACTTGTTGCACAAAACCTCGGAAGTTGGCTCTTCTTTCGTCAAACTTGTCTGGCATACTCGCTTTTGGTTCTTTCGTACTAATCCTTGAAGTATCCATAGGGGTCGTATATGACACATGTCTTGTTTCTCTCAGTCGAATAATCTCTTGTTGTAGGCTATGAATTTCGCATCTAGCTTCTTTGGTCACTAGATCAATTTGAGGTTCTTTACTTGGATTGCGAAGAAATGCAATCTCCTTTCGTATACTATTCATAAGAGCTTGAAGATCTGCAAGAGTTGCCACTCTATTGTCTACTTGTGGAGATGCATTGTCTATGATTTGGTCTACTTCCATATTTAGAGAATAGATGGATTAAAATTTTGAGAGAAGAAGAAATTGCTAAGTCTCTTGGAGAAAATTGTAGCACTACCTGTCACTAAAACCTACTCGGAGAAAAGAAAAAAAAATACTAAATGATTTCAGTTTTAGAGGAGGGTAATCCGCAACCTCTAAAAATGCCTCAATGCTTTCGAGAAGAGGGGTAATCCGCACTCTATCAAGAAGGCAAAGCTCTGAAATCGATGTTAACAGTCTTTTTTACTAGCTATGCTAAACAAAAAGAAGGAATTAATATCAGTCCAAGAGAGGGTAATCCGCAACCCTTAGAACACTCAAGTATCTCCAAGGAAGGGGGTAGTCCATTCTCTGCCTCAAAGAACTAAGCTCTGATATTGTGATTGAGAAAATATCAGTTTAGAGGAAGGTAATCCGCAACCCCTAAAGCGCTAGAATACCTTCAAGAAGAGGGGTAATCCGCTCTCAAACAAGAAGGATTCAGCTCCGATATTAAGATAAAGGGAGTCTCGACAAACTGTCACGGACCAAAAATACAAACAAGAAATCTAAACAAGAAGTTCAAGAAGAAATGACAAGAACTAGATTATCAGATGAGTACAAGAGCAACGCCAAGAGAATTGAGCTAGAGCTTCAAGAGATGTGTTGTCGAGACTGAAGAACTCTTCAGCCTCAACTCCTATATATACTACTGGCCTATGGTTCTAAGGAAGCGCATCAAGAAGCTTCCCAAGAACTATGAAGCTTCTCGAGCAACTACCCAAGAGCTAGGAAGCTTCTCAAGTAACTTCCTAGAATCTACTAGAATATTCTAAGAATCTTCTAGAGCCTTCTAAGGGAATCTTTAGGAAATCTTCAAAGAATCTTTAGGGAATCTTTAAAGAATATTCTAAAAGAATATTCAAAGAATCTTCTGGAAGTTTCTAGAGACTTCTTTCTAGAAGGTTCTAGAAACTTGTCTCTAGAAAGGTCTAAGGACTATGTCCCTAACACTATGACATTAAATTACCTTGATACCTAATCATTTCTTAACTATCTTCAAAATTCAAACAAGCTACACTCATCTTGGCCAATGTGCTCTTAGAATCCAATATATATCAATAAGCAATAACTTCATTTATTTTTCATCATTGGCAATAAGCCATAACAAAAGAACTCAATTCACATGTAATAAATGATACTTAGATGTTTATAAAATTACCTCTTTATTATCAATCAATCACTCATAAGTGGATTTTCAAGGTCAAACTAAAGAAATCCAACTATATTAATTGTTTCAAAATACGTCTCATTACATGTGACTTCAATCAAATTTCGAGGTTAGATTATAATAAAAATTTCTTTTCAATTATACATATTCATTCCATCTTATTGATCTTGGCCCTTATTCAATTCAATTTATTTGCTTATAAAATGAACATCAGAACAACATTTTTTTTAATGAAATAGAATAAGACAAGAGTTATATATAAGTTCCTAATGATATAACTCTTCTAAATCTTAGCTTCATTTTCTACCTCTAGAAGTCCCTTCATCAATTGAAACAATCTTTATAAGAGTTGTTCAAAGTTATCAATTCTTTCTTTGCCACTTTTTGATTTATAAAATCTAATATTGATAGGAATGTACTTTACTTAAGTAGTGGCCAAGACTTTACTATTTTCACCTTATATGATAGCAAATAATAGTTTACAAATTTTTCATTCTATTAAGTCTTAACTTCATTCATAATTTCTATTTTCCAACTTAGAAGAAGTCCATCAAATCTTGTGCCTTCAAGTTACTTGCAATATTCACTATAGTTGGCTTCAAGTCACTCAAAGTTTGTATCTCATGTAGAAACTCATAGAATTTGGTTTCTTTGATTTCCACCTAGCATCCACTCGAATTGTTCATAGTATGAAACTATCTGCAAGTAATTGTACTATGACACCAAAAAACAAAATAATAATTCAATACTATTTTTACAAAACCCTTGTCCGGTCCAAAGCTCGCCCAACTCCTCCCACTAGGCGTGCTTGGAGGAGAACCAGACCTACATCCCAGTTTGCTTAAAAAAGCATATTCGAAAACACGAATTAATAAAAATTAACCAATTTATTTTGTAGTGATCAGAACTCAGAGCCGCACCATGTCAAGGAGTTGCAACTCTTTTGGTTGACCTTCCTCAACGACATAAAACACGTTTTCAAACACAATGTAATAAGGAGAACAATATTACTAAATACAGAACCACTTACCCTAATAGTAATTTTATAGTTCTAATACTGAGGAGAAGTACTGTAACTACCAGAGCAGCGAGAACTAGGCATGCAATTTAAAGGATGTAACGTGGCTCCTGGAATTGACACCCACACATCGTTGCGATCCTTTCAATGCATTGAAAGGATCGCAACGATGCGACATGTCTAGAGGTCTAGGCCGGGGACCGTGGACGACTCAAAATTTAGTGAGCTCGCAGGCTCCGCATATAGTGAGCCTCGCGGGAGGAATTGGCGTTGCGAATCTGCACTGTTCGTAGTTTGCGTATGTGGTATTGGTGACGCCTCCCTGGCGGTTCCGCGAAGCTGCGTCGTTTCGTCTTGTTTTGATCGTCGATGCCTGCGCTGGTGTGCTGCAAGGTTGCCAGCCCGAATTTCGACTCGTATTCGGCTCGCCCACCTGAGCCTGTCAAGGTTCCTCCACGTCGAGGTTCCACCAGGTCGCTCAAGCGTTTTGGTGCATGTGCTCGACAGTGGTCGACTCGGAGCAATGGGTTGGCCACGGATGCGTTTGCGAAACCTACAAGATCGGTGTTCTGGTAATTTAATAGTGTGAGTGGGCAATGGCATCTTCCAGAGCCGCAGATGGAAAGCTTAGTGAAGAAAGACCTTTAAAGTGCTGAATTTTGTCACTGTGAAAGGCTTATCGAATTGCAGGGAAAATTGGACAGTCGACAAGGGTGCTGGTCAGAATGGGGGTATGCAAATATGGTACACTCCCTTTTACGCTCGCTCCCTCCTTGCTTTGAGTTGTGTGAGGGACTAGTTTACAATGCATCCACTGTCGCAGCGCTCAAGTGGAGGTGTTTGGAGCTATTCCTAGATTCTAGGGGTTCGCCTTCAAGTTTCTATGTCAATTTTCTTGAACTTGAAGCCCACAGCATCAGGGGTTTCTGATGTTGTAGCTTGTTGAGGAGAGTATCAGTATCTATTGTTGAAACTGATCCGGTGTCAAGAGCCCTTTGAGTTGCTGCATCTCTTAATCTCCCTTCAAGCATTCTTCTCTAGCCAGGTAAGTCTTGTTGGAAAAACCTCCCACCCTTTCGTCTCTACTTGGGATTCCCAAATGACCGTTTGAGATCCAACAGGCTTAATGACCACGCTGTAAGTGTGATGCTCGTGGGAGTCTGAAGCGATTGCTGGCTTCAGCTCCAGTGTGCTGCTTTTGGTTTTGGTATCCTGATGATTGCTAAAATATTCTGGTTTCTTTACTGAACTTCGTTTCGTGTTGAAAAGTAGGCGATCGGATTCTTTCAGACCGGTCTTTCTCTACTAACCCTACTCCGACCTTACAACATTCAGTTTTTGTTAAGCAGAAAAACATGTTCTCACGAATGTGTTCTGAGTACAGCTTGCTTACATGAGACTTAGTAAATTTAGAGACGTCGTGATTTCTCTAAAGGTTCTTCTATTCGATTTGGACAACAGTGATGCTTTTGTGTTTTACTGAGTTGGCACCTGACACCCTGCATCTGTAAATCATCTTCAATTGGAGGTTTCTATCTCACATGGAGCTTGTTGACATGGAACAGCTAATTTAGGGTTGAGAAGTTCATGCAGTCGTAACAGCCCGTGCTGTCAGTTCAGTCAGCTGTATGTGGTATGATTTTCTTTTTGTATTGCCAAGTGTTCTGGGCTGAATTAGTACGTTTTCCAATCTATTCGATTAGACGAGCATTCGCATGGTTGGTCACATTGGTGTGGTCTCTAAGTATACCATGTGTAAGAGTTGTTTTCTGAGCAACTGTAGCGCGCAGTGATTTTCAGAATCGAGTACAAACACTGGGAAGCAGAGCCTGGAAGATTGAATAATCCTGCACCGGAGTGGGATCAGGCATTTACAATTTGCTTGAAAAGCAGACGTCTCTCGGAACTGCCTACACTCAACGTGAGTTTTAAGGTATTTTATTTGGTTTGCCAAACATAGTCATTCAATTAAGTTTCCAAACAGTTGCTGGAGTACAAACACTGGGTTAAATAGCTGGAGTAGAAGAAATAGCCGGATCGTATGCATCGTGTAATATTTGGAGCTATGTGATCTTTCCTGCAGATCCAGGACCTCATCCTTCCTTCTGTAGATAGAACCGCAGATTAATCGACCTCTAATTAAAATTAAGTTACGATGAGTGCAGCCATATGCAACGGTCCAATTAAACCTTAGTCCTGCCAAAAAGAAGGTTCCTCCAAACTTGAAGATAAACAGGACGTGTATAAACGTCACTCATGAGTTTCTCTGGTTCAAACGTACATAGTTACTACAATATCGGTTTTAAGAGGTTCCCACGAGTTGCAACGCTGTAAGAGTGAAGAGATCGTCGGGGTACTCCTTTGTGAGTAGATAATTGTTCGCTTACATCGCCCTGCACGACGTATTTTCTGGAAGCACAGAATTCACATGATACAAGAGTTAAATGGGACTTCTTATAGTTTGCAACACACCTAGAAGGGCAGTTATATTAATCATCTTAGAAGGTATTTTACATTTTAGGCATTTTGACTATTGAAATGACACTTGAAGCGTATCGACGCATGACACTGTAGTTTAGTTCATATGACCGTAATTCCGTACTGTAGGATGTGTACGTTGGTCCTCTGAAACGATCAATAGAGTTAAAATAGCATACAAACAGTGGGTGATTTTGAGTAGTTCCGTGGACTTGACTTTCGTAATTGTTGATCACTGCAGTTACTGAGGAGGTTTGATCTGTTCCCAGAATGGTAGGGTACAAGGAGCTTTCTTTAAAAAAACATGAATAACTCAAATCTAGAGGGAAGTTGATTTAGAATTAGTTTGTACTCAAACATAATTTCGCATAGAGGTACTTGCTCTCTTCTGCACATTAAACAAGCCTGCATGTGATGTTAACTTTTAGTGAACTTTTGTGCAGCTAGAGAAGCACCCTTGCCTGAACCATTGGATCTGACCATTATGGGTACAAGGATGGAAAGAACGGATGCTCTTCTAGTGCTGGCCACGAACGCTGACGTCTACAATCGTTCTAGTCAGTTGGCCGAAGCTGGTAAAAAGCTGTACTGAACATCTTCTGATTAGATAACAACGCAATCTGAAGTTTTGTTCCATGGTGTTTCCGTACAACGCTTCATTTCTGTTACTCAATCTGATCTATTTATGAAACTAACTACAAAAAATCTAAACAAAACAATATAAAACAGAGAGCAGTGCTCAAGTGACACAAATCTAAGAAATTGCACTAGTTTAACTCTGACATGGACGAGACCAAGCGGAATTGTAACTGGAACGCGACCAAAGAGAGTCTGGATCAAATAGACTCTCTTTTGAACGAGATTGGATTAGCACCAACCAAAGAGAGTCAGGATTTAGAGTTCCAAGCTTGGTTGCAAAATTGTCAACACTCACTGGATCCTTCTGAATTGACTCCGAACCAATCACTGGATTTTCCTACGGCTAGAAAGTATCTCGATGCTAATGCCACCAAGGCAGTCATCCAGGAATCACAATACTTTGCACGATTCGCAGAAGGCCACAAGTTCTCACACGAGCTAGATTCTGCATCTAGTAGTCTAGCTCAATGGATCTATAATTCTGGCGTCAAGCAGCGGCTACCACCGAGTTCGAGTGACCCCTCTAGCGCTTCAGCATCGCATTCAGAAGTGAAGACTACGACAGGTTCTGAAATGGGGCTGCTCAGATGGACAGGGTCTCTATCTAGCGAGGACTTTGTGGAGCCTGAGGCTGCGCAGGGACGAGGAAAGCATCAGATGAAATCAGTGGGACTGGCATCGAAGAATCTTGTCTCTGAGCGTAAGCGGAGGAAGAAACTCAACGATGGGCTATATTCTCTTCGCTCACTGGTGCCCAAGATAAGCAAGGTAATTTAATATAGTCATACTACCGAAATTCCTCGGTTCTGCAGACTTTGAACCTCAGGATTTAATCCCGTCACAGTTTTATCGATGTTGACCTGGCAAGGAAACGTAGTGGGAATATCATCAACTGTGCCCCTTAATTACACTCCTGCGTAAATATTCATCTAATATTGTAGACGGCACAAGGCTACTATTACTACTGTAAGTAAGATGAAACTAAAATAACAACAGTATCTTAAAACTAAGTATTGGATTTTTGAGGTCTTGGATTTTTATCGGTGTTAGACGTAACCTTCCCTGACATCCAACAATTGGATACAAATTAGATTCAACTCATTTACCAAATCTGAAATGTATCTGAGGCTAGAGTTGTTGCTAACAGTAATATCATTACTACTGAGTGATGCATCTGCTAAACTTTGAGATTGATTCATGGACTTTACAGATGGACAAGGCGTCCATTATCGGTGATTCGATTGTTTACGTACAGGAGCTCCAACAACAAATCCAAACTATTGAGAAGGAGATTGCAGAAATAGAAGAAAAAGTGAGTTCTGCCAATTGTGTGGCAGAAGAAGACTCTGGTGGCTCTGGTGGCTCTGGATCTACGGAGTCCAAAGAGCATGCTGCAGGCAGGGGAACCTCACTTGAACAAGTTGTAGAGGTAGTTAAGCCAGTCATTGAGTTGAACAATACCGTCATGGCAGCCTCGAGTTCGTTAGTCGATCCTCAAGACCCAAGTCCAGGTCACTCTCCAACTGTGGAAATACAAATTCTAAACGTAAGTCAATACGTTTCGGAACTTCCTTCCTTTACTTCCTTCCTATTTCCCAGCTCAAGCGTTGCCATGGATGGCTGTTCATCGTCCACGCTGGTCTTCTCAAGTCTTCCCACACCATTGAGATCCGTCTCGGTTGTTTACAGATGGAAGTAGCTAAACTGGAAGAGCAAACCTATCAGCTGAAGACCACCTGCCAGAAAGGACTAGGAATCCTGGTGCAATTAACGCGAGCCTTGGAATCGCTGGACGTGGACATTTTAACTGCTCACCACATCGCTTTCCAAGACAACATGCACGACACATTCATCGTCGAGGTAAACACATGTGATTTTCACAACTTTGCAGTCCTTCTCCGTTGGGTTTCTGTGTGTGCATGGACCTGAGACCTGATGGCTTGGCCTTGGTGGCAGACGAGAGACTGCAGCACCAAGAAAGCCGAGCATGTGAGAAAGGCTTTGATGGATGCCGTTGCTCAACACGGGCTCACAGTCCTCGCCTCCAAGCTTCTGGACTGATCGCCATATCCTCCGCAATCTCCCCGTCTCCGCTGTTTTCTCAGCTGAGGTGGAACCCAAGTCTTGTGGTTTACAGCTTGTTTCTATTTGCCAATCTATAGCTCACATAATAATATAATATGATAGTCATATATCTACTTTTTGTATATATGTAAATTTGTGTGTGTGTGAAACCAGTCTTTTAGGCTATTGAATGGCTTTGATGAGAGTATTTCATCGGTAGTAATCTTTACTCATTAGAAGAGCGTAGAGTGAAAAGTTCTCTTGCAGAGGCGTTTGAAGAGCTGGGCATATATGAAACAAACAGAACGTTCTTGGCTGACGTAATTGTAAACGACTTTTGTGTAATTGATTGATTGTTAAAAATGATTTATTGAATTGTTGCAGGCTTTGAGTTTTGTGTTGATTGGGTTATGGTATTTTCTGGTGATAAGTTATGCATCACTGGTTGTAGGTCTTGGTTCTTTCTTTGCTTTATAAGATAGTGAGATATATAGTGAGATGGTATAAAATACGAAAAAATTAGATAAAATAATTATGACCATCTACTGAAAATATTTTTGTGCATTTCGATTTAAGTAAACATTAAATCAACAAACAACAAATTTATTTTAATTTTAATATAATTTTATTTTACTTTTCTTTTGTATAATTGCAAGATAACCCACTTACAGTGTTTCAACTATCACTATATTAAAATCAAAATAAAGATTCTCAAGAAAGACATTATTTTAAAAATATGTGGCATAATACAATATATACAGTATCACAATCTTATAAAGAGCTTTTGATGCTTTGTCATAATATATGAGGTAAATACTATAGTTAATGGTACTTTAAAAGAACAATTAAAAGGCAATTATAAAAGCATCAATAATAATCAACTAAGTAATTGATCCTCTTTTTCTAGGTTTATAATATTATTGATACTTTATAAGACCTATTAATGAGCTAAATATAGATCATAGATCAAAGTTTACAAGTATTTGGAAAATTAATACAAAATCACATATGGAAAAAGAAATAAACATAAAATAAATTTATTGTACTAAAATTTAAACAAACACACAAACATAACTATAGTTTTATCAAGCTAAGTACTTAAGTGTCTAAAATTATTAAATAATATATATTTTTTAATTATAAGTGCCCACCAAATAAAATATTCATTATGTTGTGGAGATATGATCTTTGGTTCCTTCAGCCTTTCTTTAGAATTTTTAGATACATATTTAACTCTATGCTAAGAAATCCCTCTACTATATATATATATATATATATATATATAAATACATATACATTAAATATAAGGTATGTTTTTAATAATTCTTATTTTAATATAATTATTATTTTAATAAGATAACTCAAGCAATAATATATTATATATTAATAGAAATTTTTATACCAAATACATACTACATTCAAAAATTTAAATAACTATTATTAGTTTTTTCAACATATTTTTTGAATTCATTTGTGTATCTATGTTCTTAAAATCAATAATAATATTATAATTATAATGATAATTAATATTTATGTACTTTATTTTGGAATTATACATTTAATTCTTTGTAATAATTTTAATTTTTTTTATGTATTGCATCAAACATGATACAAATATTTCTAAATCCTTTAAAAAAGCAAAATATCTATTTTAATATTTTTTCTATAGATTTTTTATACATTTATTAATTTATTTCTAACATATAGGATATTAGATCTAATTTGCATCATTGCATCTAAGAAATTGTCTATTATGCTTACATATGTAATATTAGTTTTTTTTTTTTAATATTTTAACTTTAATAATAAAATTATTTTTGGAAATAATATAAAATGAGATACTAAACAAGTATTTATTTATTTTTCTTTTATCATGCTAAGATGCAATATATATATTAATACATCTTCTATACAAAATCTAGAGTATATATTTTATTTGATATGTATTAACATCAATATCTAAAACTCTCTTAAAAACTTCTAAATGTTCTATATCAAATTATCTATTAAATCAAATGTTTGACATATCTATATCATTTATTTTCTTTTGTTATAACTAACATATTATTAATGCACAATACAATTGTATTATAGTCTTACAAATTAGCTTTATGCAATTGTTTGTTTAATGAGTCTAATTTGACTTATGTAATATTTAGTTTGTCTATATAGCTAAATAAGGATATATTTTATTTTTTATTTTTAAGATTTGAACATATATATATATATTAACATATAATTTATAATAATAATAGTATATGTAGAAAAAACCTTATTATGTTCTAAATGTTAAAAGCAAATTTGTACTAAGACATAAATCCACTTTGGTGTTGAACCAATTCTACCTCCAATACTATATATTTGATACTTAAGTCAAATACCAAATCAATATTAGTCTAGCTAAATATTGGAAGGTAGACTTATCTTATTATGTTATAATAAGACTATTTAATAAAAAAAAGAATTCTATATTATAAAAGAGCTTATTTTAAAACATAGTAGAAAATTACTTTAGAACCATAAATAATAATTAAAAAGGAAGTAAAACTAATAAGTGCCAATCTTGTCTTTTTTAAAAAGAGCTTATACTTATTTTGTAAGACCATAAATAAGGCAAAACAAGGTAGATAAGTAATATTAATATTATAGGAATCTTTAGATAGAAGTAAAAAATAGCAATAAAAAAAAAACTAATTAGCTAAAACTTAGGTTGATACCTACAAAGGACTTGTTATGAACCAAAGTCAAAACAAGACTTTGAGGCACAAAAGTGCACGCCTATAGCAAATACGGCTTTCTTTTGTCAATCAAAGTAGAATTAAGATTAGACTTGATAAAGTTTTTATGAGAATTACTTTTGATGGATTTAAAAGCATATTCACTTTGTGAGAGCTTTGCAAAGTCATGATTGTTTTGGTTAACTTTTTTTTATGTTGAATAAAAATGAAATTTTATTTTAGTACATTGTATAGTTTTTGTAGCAAAAATTTAAGTGAAATTTGGTATATTTGTGAATTTATTTGTGTTGAATATGTATTATAAATTTTAGCTTAATTGGATGGTTAAATCAAATTTAAGTGAAATTTAATTGCTCTAGGATTTCAAAAATTGGATTTTGAAGGTCAATGAGGGTTTTTTAGATTTTGAAAAGTTTGCAAGTCAAATTAGAAAAAAATCTTTGTATGCTAGTATTTGACTAATATTTTTACATTATCGCAAAATAATAAAAAAAAATTAATACCTCAAAAGTGAGATATTAAAGCTAGAGGTTTTGCTTTGAGATTAGAGAAAAACTATTGTCATGCAAGGGATTTAGGAGTATTTTCTTCCATTGTGTAAATTAGATTTCCTTCAAAATTTATAAGTTATTTCTTAACTAGTAAATTAAGTTATATAGAAGTTTGAATTAAGATCAATGGTTAATATAATAATCATTAAAAATTGAAATCTACTAAAATATTTAATTATAATTTTATTAAAATTTATTAGAGTTTATTTAAGCTTTGTTTGATATTTTTAGGATTTTTTTATGATCGTATTAGGATTCAATAAAAAATTAATTGAAATTATATTAGGATTTTTTAAATATTTAATTAGGATTTATTTATAATTTATTTATAATTTATTTAGGATTTCTTATTATTTCTTTAGGATAGTTTATTTATTTATCTGAGATTTACTCCTATTAGAGATGATTATTCCTAAGGTATTAGCCAACTTTGTAATTAGCAAAAAGAAAGTCTAAAAAATAATGCCAGTTCTAACTAAAAGAATAATACATGCTCTTCATTTGACTTATAAGAAAGTTGTGGTTAAAGTTTAGAAGGACTTGAGATGCTTCTATAAAGTATTATTCTTTGATTAAAAAGATAATAATTTCTACAAAGAGGTAGAAGAAGCCACTCAAGTTGTAAGAATTATGGATGGATTAACAATAGAACTAGACTACATTAACAAAAGAAATAAGACAATGGAGAAGTTAAAAATTATTTGAATGGTAAGTGAAAATTCTTTAAAGCACAAACTGCTAGTACAATTCAATCTCCAATTAATTAAAGATTTTAATTTATGTAAAATAGATTAAAATTAAAAAAATAGAATTATAATTTATAATATTTAAATAAATTTTTAATTTAACATTAGAAATTAATATTAAATAAAGACTTTATTATGCACTAATATATAGATTAAATTGTCACTAGATTAAATATTAAGATATAAGTAATCAAAAAATATAAGAAATTATTTCTTTATTCTTTCAACTGATGTATATTAATATTTCTTCACTCTATTAAGTTTTCTTACAAAATAGATTAAAATAAATTCTATGAATATGTTTAAATAATGGAATGTCATCTTTCTGTCTTCATTGTTCTTTCTTTCTAAGAAGTTATATTCTAAGAATATTATATTTTCAATGACGTAAGAAAAATAAAAATCCAATTTACTATGAATAATTAATGAAGACTAGTAATATTTAAAGAGTCTCTAATCTTTTTTTCTTTTTAATAGATATTATATTTACTTCTTGAATATTGATTTTTTTCTTTTTTTTCTTTTTCTTTCTTTTTTACTTCTTTGATGTATATTTTTTTTTGTGTATATTCTTTAACTTCTTGTGCTTAATAGATTAATTAGAATATGCTTATATTATTAGAATTTTATCTTTCTTAATTAAAATAGATTTATCTTTTTTCTATAAAAAATGTAAGTTTGTTAGAGATTGTAGATTTTTTACTTCTAAACCAATGTTGTTTTTAGAAGTAGTTTTTTATTCTTGATGCATCTTATTATTAGTGATATATATATTTATTCTATTATATACTTATGGCAAAGTTTAAAGAATTAAAAGATATATAAGTAGAAATTTTAGAATAAATTAAAGAATTGTTGTTTGAAATACATCAACTCACTTTATTATAAAAAAAAATATTAAGATTGGTTAGAAAAAAGATGTAAAGATGGTTGGAGCTATTTCAATATCTACTTTTATAAAAGTAGCTCCTCTTATAGTAGAGCATCTTACAAGCATCACAAGTATTGTCAAAAAATCAAAAATTGTGTTCTTATAAAGTTTAATGGTATAAAATCAAAGTTGTGAGGATTTATCAATTGAATGAAATTGATGTTTTAGCTTCAAATTTAAATCTACCTAAATTAAGATTACTAGCCGGATTTACTAAAATATTACTTTTAAATTATTTCTTATCATAATTTTTCTATAGATTATAATATAAGTTCAAAAAGTTGATATTAAACTTATTTGATCTTTAAATATTGGATCAAGCAATTCAATTTGTTGTAATATGTGATAATTGACTTTTTGAGTTTTGATCAAAGAATTATATAAGTACACCAAAACATCATTATGATTT